CATTACCAAAATGTGACGTGTACACCCTGCAGATTACTGATAGGAATCATCACTACCTGCGTCATTGAACTTGTGACACGAGACACTAGACCCGCTAGATTAAATCAGCACAGCCATCGAGGATCGAATGCTAATTTGTTTGAACGAACTCAACAGTTTCGAACAAGCACACCTTTTTTTAAACAACAAAATAATGGCTGTTTCATGGTCTGTTGAGGAAGTACAGACATTCCTCCCGTTGATAGCGGAGGAGTGGATTCAGCGAGAGCTTGATGGGACGATGTGGAATGAAAAAAGTTTTTCAGGAGGTCACGGCATTAGAGGCGGCACAACTATAACGACATGTCTATAATCCCGCCCACTCTAAAGCTGTACTAAACTGCAGTAGAAATGCAAACCGAGTCTGAACCGTACCGTGCCGTGCCGCCCCGAGCTGAACCGTACCATGCAGTGGAAAAGCGGCAATATTCTTAGGGTGTACTCACACAAGGCACAGTTACGTGAACCGAGGCCGAGAGCGATTATCCCCCCTCTCCACTCCCCCGCTGGCCTGCACTCACACTTGCGCTAGACATTCCGGGCCGGAGCACGCTTACGTCATGTACGAAATAATAGGACGAAAACCACTTTCGCTAGTAGACTGCCTAATAAATTTATAATTTATGCCGTGCAGCGATTTTCACTTGCATGTATCAGAGGATTCTTACGGAGGCAGCTGATGTTAATGAAAGAATTTGCAGCTTTACTCGCTAAAAAAAAACTATTCCTGTTCATCAATAAGGTGAAAACCAGAACTGTTATAAACCTAAATATACTTGATTTAATTAAATTAATTGAAAAGTGTACTGTAGTAGTAGTAATAGAAGATATTTGAGGTCGTAATGATGACAGTAGCGCACACAAAAGAGTGTGACGGTAAGAGATTACACTACATGCGTACCGTGCCCGAGCCCAACTGAACCGTGCTCTGGCCCACCTCTTCCAAGCGAGCCAGGGACGGCTAAATGAACCGCACTCGGGCACAGTTCAGATTGCCTAGTGTGAGTAAACCCTTAGAGTTTGTACTTGACTAACTGGGGCCCAGGTCAGGAAGCAGACACAAGGCTCGAAATTGCGACCATTTTGGTCGCATATGCTCCCGAAATTTGATCTGTGCGACCTCAAGCCCTGCAGACAGACTGGCTAAACTGACCGTCTGCTAGCCGCCTCACGTCACAGAAGTCAGTATATAGAGACACCTTCACCTAGATATCATACTATAGAGACTCTAGATGTGTCCGAAATTGCGTACTGTCTGAGTAGGTATTATATTTGAATTTACTTCACGACCGTTAAAAAAGTATGTTCTATACCCAGGGGGTCCGCAGCGGTACTGCAGGGGGTCCGTCAATTAATTTTTGATCACCCTCAGTTGATACTGCAGTGATATAATATTATTGGTGAAACAGATTTAGCAAATGCTCCATTGTGTTTTTGAGTTTGAGCTCCGAGAACGTGAAATGTTCCTATTTACAGCGTGTTTTTGCAGTGGTGAGAAATTTAGTCAAGCACAGACATTTTTATTGATCTCTTGAATTCAATGGCCAATCAGAGGTGTTTAAAGGTCCCATATTGTCAAAACTGAAATTTCCTGGCTTTTTTCACGATAACTGAGGTCTAGGGGCTATTTAACTACCATATAAGTTTCAAAACAGTCAGTCCACGGTAAAATACACACAGTCTGCATAAAGTAGCTGTGATTTTTCACGAATCCACTCACCGCTCAAACCGCTGAAGTTTTTATTCAGCGCTGAATTATGCTCGCTCTCGCGAATCCTCTCTCACTGAAGATCCCATATTGTCAAAACTGAAATTTCCTGGCTTTTTTCACAATAACTGAGGTCTAGGGGCTATTTAACTACCATATAAGTTTCAAAACTGTACATCGCATCCATGCCATTGCTGAGCAACAACAACACGGAATCATGTCGAAAAGGTTCACTTTAACCACGAAACCAGATTGGCCAACCTGTAAGGTTACACTCTCACTCAAAGGATGGACGATCTGACAGGTTTATTTATTTTAATGGAACATTGTGAGATCACGAACTGAGATGAGTGACAGTTTTTTGCGATTGTGAAGTGAGCTGTCTTTCGCACTTTGGAGTCTATACAGGTATATTCCGTTGAATGAAAGTATTGTCTTTCTTGCTGCTAAGAGGACCAACAGCCAATTACAAGCTGCAAAGTTTTGGAAATTATATCTACATATAAATGTGTGATTCACTCTGAATCTGCAATTGATATTGTGATATTAGCAGCATGGGACAAAAATAAAATAAAAAAATCACAATAGATATGCGCAATGTAAATGCAGACTAATAGATTACTAGAAAAAGATTCGCATCAATGTATTTTTAAATTCCATTCCGAATTTTTTGTTGTTTTTTTTTGTAAAAGTAATGCCTTTTAAATAATCGTGGATATCTCACTGTACATTGCTATTCTTGTCATGGTGGAGCCATTGCTTACACATTATATCTGCACTTTATTTAAAAAACCCTCACTCAGTGATTTGATTCTTAATTGTCCATCTCACAGTAAAAATGTAAATGTTAAAGGGGTCATATGATGCGATTTCAGTTTTTCAAGAGCAGTGTTACAAGCTCTTGGTGCATAAAGAAGATCTGTAAAGTAGCAAAGACTAAAGTCTCAAATCTAAAGAGATATTCTTTATAAAAGTTAAGAGTCCCGTAATTATGTCCCCACTGGATGCAACAAATGGCTTGATGAATGATGCAACAAATATATATGTTAGGGCTGCACGATAAATCACATGTGATTGTCATGCGCATCTCGTCAGTGAAGCCGGTTCTATAAATACTACTAATCACAGAACCGGCTTTACTGATGAAATGCGCATGACAAACGCAAGCGATTTATTGTGCAACCCTAATATATATATATATATATATATATATGTGTGTGTGTGTGTATAAAGTAAGTAAGCTCTAAAAACAATCATTATAATAGTTTTTTGTATACTTCCTTTGTTTAACAGTTTTATCTGATTATTAGACAGACTTCTATTTGTGTCAGACAGAACTGTTAAACGGCGACAGCAAACAATGAAGAGGGAGTGTGTAGGCGCTGCCGTTCCCTGTCAAAATAAAAGTCCTGACTCAAACAGAAAAACTTATCGGCCAATGCCGATATTTGAAAAATGCCAAATATCAGCCAATATCGGCCTTAGCGATATATCGGTCGACCACTACTTTGCTCTATATTTCTTCACGGCCTGACAAAACATACCAATTCGCAAAACTAGCGGAATGCATAGCTAATAAATAAATAAAAAAACTGGATGACTAGTAATTTTCTACTGCTAAATTCTGAAAAAAAAACAGGTGTTAATTATCGGACAAAAAACATGTAATGGATGTAATTATCTAGAACACTGTCTAACACTTGATGGTTGTGCTGTCTATTCTTTGTCATCAGTTAGGAACCTAGAATTATACCTAGAATATCACAATCAACAGGGGGCAGCAGATCCTTTTCCTATTTAGCACCCAAACTCTGGAACAATCTACCTAGCGTTGTTCGGGAGGCAGACACACTCTGTCAGTTTAAATCTAGATTAAAGACCCATCTCTTTAACCTGGCACACACATAATACACTGTCGCATTTCTATAATTCAAATCCGTTAAAGGATTGTTAGGCTGCATTAATTAGGTCAACCGGAACCGGGAACATTTCCCATAACACCCGATGTACTCACTACATCGTAAGAAGAATGGCATCTATGCTAATATTAGACTGTTTCATTCTTATTCTGAGGTCACCTTAGCCACCCAGATCCAGTCCATATCCAGATCAGATGGTCACTGCAGTCACCTGGATCCAGTCCAGATTGTGGATCAGCACCTAGAGATGACCTCTTCAGCCCTAAATGTCAGCGGAGACCATGTCAACTAGACGAGCCATAGAGAAAGATCCCCTGCGAAGACCTCGTCACCTAGACGGTCATCAGCACAAGGCCACGGGAACCAGACGAGTCCTCTGCACAATCTGATTTGCTTTGCAGCCTGGAATTAAACCACACCATGCTGGTTTCATCTGGCCAGAGGAGAACTAACACCATGCTGGTTTCTCCCAAGGTTTTTTTTCTCCATTTCTATCACCGATGGAGTTTTGGTTCCTTCCTGGGCTTGCTTAGTTGGGGACACATTTTCTGGCAATGTTGTTGACTTGATTGCACAAACACTATTTGAAGAGAACTGAATTGAGCTGGATGATGACATCACTGAACTGACTTTAATCGGCCGCTTTCTATTGTCATTTTACATTATCATCACGTGTTTTTCCTGTTTAACACTGTAAAGCTGTTTTGACACAGTCTGTATTGTATAAAGCGCTATATAAATAAAGATATGTTATATATATATAATATAAATACATGCTCCACCTCTGTTTTCACGCTGTTGGATAATGTTAAGTAATAATATGTAAATAGTAATGTAAAGTCAGTTAATGTAATTAATGTGACGGCAATAATAGCAAATCATGGTAGATTTGAAAAAGAGTTACAATTAGGATATGTCTAGATGCTGTCAAGGGTGAACTTAATCTTCAGCCTCCTCATCCCGGTTCTAAATTCCCCTCAGAAGTGTGTGCCGGATATTTTTCAGGAGGGAAATAGTCCTCCAGAATCCACTGCAAACTCACTCTCTCAGGTCTGGCTCTGTTCCGAAATGGAATATTCACTTTCTCTGACCATGTCAATTCCTAGTGGATAATATCAAGTCCCAGCTTATATATATTTCCCATTACACATCCTTTTTTGCTCAGAAATATTACATTACACAAATAAAATGTCTTGCAAATGTAGTTTCTTGTTGTAGAATTGCAACATGCAAGAGGAAAGTTAATAAAGCTATATACAATAACAGTAAATATTCAACATACACAATAATTTAACTTCTTGTTGTTTGTTCTTATTTTTGGACAATTTCTCCAGGCTCTCCATGGAAGGATTTTGTCATCTTCTGGACAGCATTGAGCGACGTCTCAGTGCTAAAGACGTGAACCTCTACAGAAGTACAGTCAATGAGCAGAAACTCGATGATATCATCAGGTCAGAGAAGCAAGATGTTTTGTTCCCTGCTTGAGTCTGCTTCCTCTCGTGATGCTGTAGTGTTCACAGATTCAGTGGAAATTGCATTACCCTGCCTTTAAGGGCTCTCACTATAAATTAAGTGCCATTACTTTGGCTCCAACAACACTCTAGCAATAAATCTTGGTTTCTAAGGGGTTTTGAATCACAGTGAATTGTTATAGTAGCCATTTTGGAATGGTGCCTATACATGCTAGTTTATTGTTTTTATTTGTGTAGATTGAAAGAAGTGGAGAATATTTGTACTAATAAAATAAGTGTACTTTTAGTAATACTGCATTATTTGTGTGATTTTTCAAGGGAGGCTCAAATGTGTGTGCCTGCACTCCACACATTCTCATTTCTAGTGTGATGTTTCTTTATGTATTGCCCAGTATATGTGGCCAGTGTGGGCGTCTGGATGGTGTGGAGCTGCATTCGTGTGGTGCTGTTGTTCTGCAGCAGCTGCCCCTGTTGTCCTGCAGTCTGTCTCATGGATGTCTGTTACCCAGTGATCTGATCAACACTCACTGGTCATCAGCTACAAAACCAGAACAGATCAGGTATTGTGCTTTACTGTTCTCTGGACTTATAGTATCTATTTAGGTTGTTTCACTTATGTATAGCAAGAGATTGTTTGAATTATATGTCCTTAAGCATAAATTAAACCAAAATGCATTAAAACATATTCTTACAGTCCAAGAGTCTATTTTTTCTTTTGTTTCTTGTGTTTTGGAATGATTTAACTAGTGTAGTTTTAATTTGATTTATTACTAATTCAATGTTATAAGAATTTATATAAGTGTAAGAAGACTGACAAAGTACTAAGCTATTTTTGTCATATTACATTTTTGTTTAAATTATATCAATGATATGTGCATATTAAAAGAAATTATATAACCACAATAAAGTATTAGAAAAATAACAATATAAAAAAATATATTGTATGAATGAGCCAATAACAGGGTGGTTCATGTTTATTGCTGTTATTTGATTGTGATGTATATGAATGCAGTTGTGTGTGTGATACATTTCTTCATCCTGGTTTGGGCATGCAGGTCATGTATGTCAGCTGAAAGCGCTCTGCTGTGGGACTGCTGTTTCAGACACTTCTTTCAGCTTCAGCAACAGAAAATCCTCAGCACTGACCACATCATCCAGCTCTTCACTCCACTCCTAGTGCCATACAATGCCACCTACACTGAGAAGGTATCACTGACTCTCCCTTGATTTCTGCTTCACAGTTTAGTGTTTTATTTATACATATATATATATATATATATATATTAGGGCTGTCAATCAATTAAAATGTTTAATCTGATTAATCACATACTTTTTCTGTGATTAATTCTAATTTCTGTGACTTCATGAAATTAAGCATAGGCCATTTATCTTGTTTCAAATGTTTATTTTGTCATCATTTGCTATATACAGCAAAGTAAACCAAAAGATTGAAGGGTGATTCTCAAAAATCTATATATTCTGCAAGCCTTTTTTAAGATAAATTTTGATGTCTTTCCAAAAAAGGACCCTTAGAAACTCCAAAAGGACACCAAAGAACCAAATTATGTAAGGAGCCCATATAAGCACATATGAAAGAAAAAAAAACAGAATTTTATAGTATGTGTACAGTGCAACAGCAAAGAGCTTTTTTACATTTTAGAGAAGCCAAGTTGCGATACCGAACAGGACCACATGGAGATGCCAAAAAAAAACTAAACCAACCGCCTGCTGACTGCATATATCTACTACAGTACACGGATCCATTCTGTATAAATAACACAGCAACATAAACCTGACAAATCAAAACATTATCGTGAATGTGTGTGGAAACAACGTGAATGTACGGAAATGTCTGTGCCTGTGCATAAATAGAATGTGCGATCAGTGCGTCAAGAGCACTCATGCACGCATTAATATAACGGACTCACGCGTGCTTACTGTACTGTACGACTCCTGTACGCCACCGCAATCGTCTTTACCTTGATTGCAGTCTTCATCCATCAAAACTTTACTAGCGAGACTGGTTATCAAGTCGAGAAAACGTCGCTTGCGTCTCATCTGGCCATACAGCGGTGGGATGTGTTGACAATCCGTTCAGTCTGTACTTCACACAGCGCATGTGACGTGTGATATATATATTGTATTGCAAGTATTCTTGGCACAGGTCTGTTATATAATATGGTAAATTGTCTACAGTCATAAATCATTTTGTGGTGATAAATAGTGTTTATTAGTTATTTTAGTCAAATTTGAGTTGTATTGAACCCATTTTATTATATAATATATGGAAGTGCCATCATGAAGTGCCTCACAGATCACTAGGACTACACTGGTGCTTAGGCATAAATGTTCCCTTTCGAAAGGTCTCCCATTGTGTTGGCACGCTTATGGGGAAACTCCTGTTTATTCTGATACTAAAGCCTGTTTTGTTCACGTTCGTGTAGCTGCATGAACCAATGGCGCGTCAACCTGCCAAAAGGGGTGGAGCCGACCTCTATATAAGTCGGCTCTGAGCAGCATTTGTTAGAATTTTTCTCCTTCAGCAACGAAGATTATCTCCTTGCTGACTCTGCAAGTAAGAAGCCTAAGAAGAAAGAAGTTCAGCTCAGCCTTGCTGCTCGCCACCGTAGAAGGAGACCCCGGCAGCGGAAGAAGATATGTAGACAGCAAATATATAGACAACAAATATTTTTGTTGTCGAGTAGTTGTTTGATCTCATATGACTTAATGTAAGAGCCTGCAATAATGCAGTTTGACCAGTGTGGCGCTGTAGCACAAGACTGTAATTCAGCTCTACTGATGCAATTCAAGAGATGAAGACACAGCGCTTCAGGTCAGACCAAACGCAACTGAAACTGAAGCTGCTGAGCGGCGTTTGGATGAATAT